GCTGAATAATGCCGTGTGACGCAATGACGCACTTGAACAACGTGCAGTAATGCGGTGATCTGGCGCCCTCTTTAAAATGTTGGCAGTGTTGAAATATAAGTGTATGAGGTTATAAACACACACTTATTGACATTTACTTGAGCCTTCTGTATACATTATTAGCTTATCTACTGTGGCTAAGCAGACTTGTGCCAAAAGGACAATAATTCATTTTTTGTGGGTTTATCCACGTAAATGTACTTACGTTTTTTTTTGGAATTGTTTTGTTTCAAGGCCTAGCCTAATATGAATGAAAAACTTACTGATATACTTACTGGAAAGGCTACTGGAATATTTAAAGAATATTAAATAAACATTTACTTTCTTTTTAAAACCATATCTAAAAATTTATTCTGGCTATTTATGCAATATTTTTAAAATAGTGAAAAACTTAACTGCATTTGATATTCGGTTTCAGTATTCGGCCAAGCATTTAATTTTTATTCGGTTTTGGTTTCGGCCACAAATTTTCATTTTGATGCATCCCTAATCTGTATAATCCCTCAGTTCTGTTCCATAATGGTCCATGGGCATGTACTAGTTTGTATGGTCTTATACTTGTTCTGATACAGCTCAAGATCATTCTAAAGCTATTCAGGAAGCTTTCATTTCTATACTTTTGATGTGACTTTTTTAGTGCTGATACTTGCTCAAATTACTATCTAATTTTGGTACTAGTTTTAGTATCAATAAGTATCTGATTTTCGATACTTTTGACAATTTTGTTCATGTGAGCGTGGGGTTACTCTTACATAAACAAATGAGTTACGCAAATAACATTTTCTGATCCACAATACACCCTGTAACTACACTATTTGGCAAGTCTTTCAACCCGAAATCTGTTTTGAACCTTCAGGCGCCAGGACAGACGCACTTATGTGAATGTGGTTTGACCTTGTATCAGCAGCACCAGTCTGAAGCCTGTCTGTGCTCCTGGTACAGCCCAGTGACTCACATCTCCTCCCTGTGTCTCTTCAGTCATCTTCCCTTCAGCTGCTCCTCAGTGGCAACAACTATTTAGTCCTTGTCCAATTGGTTTACAACAAATTCCACTTTCTCATTGTGCTTTGATTAAAAAGTTAGATTTTTTTTGTCAAGAAAACAAAGTGAAATCTGTATCTCTTGTCACGTGATTTATAATAGGATTCTGTTCAAAGCTCACATTTTAAACACATCCGGAAGAAAAATTACTAAGAATACTAAAATTCAAGACATACAAATTTGAGAAACTATTTTCAGAACATGTTTGCATAGATCTGAATTATAAGGTTAGCTTTTTATGCAGGATATTTATTTTTTATGCTTTGTAGGGATGTAACAATAACCGAAATATCGTGATATCTTATCGTCAAAGTTCTCACAATAATATCATGGACCATCACAATATATTGAATTACAAGTCTCTTTGCTTAAAGAGCGAAGTTATGGTGCAGCAATAGCTAAAAAAAAAGACAGAACTTCATAGACCATGAACCTTTGCTCCATTTCAGTGCAGACTACATGAAGAAATAACAGTTCTAAGCACTTTTAAGTCTTAGTTCTTTGGATTAAGTCTTGTCAAGGCATTTTAAGAGGAAAAAGTAGCATATTGACAGTTTTGTTAGCCTCCACAAAATATCGCAGTAAATATCGTACTGTGAGATGTATATCGTGAAAATGAGAGATTACTGAGAGTTTTCGATATTGTTGCATCCCTAATCATGAGCCTCTCCACCATATCGTCAGCTTTCCCATAATATCGCAATAAATATCATACGGTGAGGTTCATACCGTGATGATATCATATCGTGAGATTTGGATATCGTTACACCCCTAATGCTTTGAACTCTTTGAACTAACCAAACCTATATCTTACTGAAACAAATATTGGCCAATGGTGGACTTGTGTTAGCCTGATTCATCAGCTGGTTTTACTTCATTTCACTTCATACAAACCGTCTGACCTCGCAGCCTTAGATTTTGTTCACTCGATGGTAGGTGGGTACTTTTTATCATTTAACCAGTTGCTCCTATTTGGTCGTGACGTTATGTAATGCGCCTCTAACGGGGCTAACTGGTATATTAAGCTTTTCCCAAATTCCTTAGGAAGAAGGGCAATAACGTCTTTCCCCTTGATGAAATTTACCAAACGTTCTCTTTACTCCGACTTTAAATCCTCGATCTTGAGAATCGTTGACAACACTGAATATATCACTCTTCGCTGATTGGCTGGTGCCTGAACTTGCACTTCCAGGGGTTTTGTGAACTGTCTATTGTATTTTGATTCCTGACCTAGTTGCTGAAGAGAAATGAAATTGAGCCGAGGCACTAGGTAGCACCAGCCTGGCTTGTGTTTTCATGATACAAAAATTTCAAAATCAATACTGATCCTGATACCACAATTATAATTAAAAACACTCTTTATTTAGACAATAGAATGTAATTTTAACATCATAGTACTTTCTTTTATATTACCATTTAGTTTTATATCTGTGTAATCCCTCAGTCGTCCAGGTAGTTTCCATTGTGGTCCATGGGCATATACTAGTCTACATGATCCTATACTTGTTTTGACACAGCTCAAAATCATTCTAAAGCTATTCAGGAAAGCTTCATTTCTGTCCTGTGAATGTGACTTTTTAGTATTGATATCTGCTCAAATGAATACCTAGTTTTGATGCTAGTTTTAGCATTGATTAGTATCTGATTTCCAATACTTTTGACAACCCTATAGTAGACAGTACATGCTACAGTCTACAGTATATCCAGTCAGTCCTTCATAACAACCCCACTCCCTCCCATTGTACAACGAGGGCTTCTATGTAATGGCATAGCTGTCCTCCCTTTATTACTAACCCAGAACATTAACTACCAGAAATTACAAGGTGCCATAATCAGACATAAAGTACAAAAGTCTTCCCCATTAATTTGACTTGTCCCATTTCCTATACATACCAAGACCTCCTCTCCACCCACTCGGACCATTACTACTGCTGTCTCTGCATGGGTGATCATCGAAATCCTCGTCTCCTCCTCGTAACATATGCACTGGTTGGTAATAAGATAGAAAAAGATGGGACAATTTGTAGCTTTTGTTGCAGATTTCTAAATCAATTGTTCCCCATGAATAGACTTGTTTTTGTTCTGCAGACAATCACACTGTGCATCGTGCTTCCTACGTGCAGCCTGGAGAGGGACTATAGTTTTCAGGATTAAAGGGCCCATATTATGCTATTTTCTGATCTATGTTATAATGTTCTTTCCTCGTCACAAACAGACCTGGATTTGAGCTTTGGAGATGTGGACGGATTAATAATAAAGGGTTACTCAAACATGTGTGAATGAAACAAAACACAACTCCAGGTCTGTTTTTAAGGAGGTCACAGCATTATAACAAGAATTAACGCTCACGAGAGTCAATTTAGTGTAATATAGAACCAAAGGATAAAAAAAAACGAATGAATACATAGATAAAAGTCGACAGGTGTGTTTCTCTGTGCCAGATTCACCAGGTGGAACTTTTAGCAAATACTTGGAAAAATGGGTCAATGGAGAGTTTGAGATTGTAATTGAATGGCTGGAAGTAGGCAAGTGTTATTATGACCCCAGGCTTTGTATTGTGCATGACTGATAATTAGACAACAGGCAGTAATTACACATCTTCAACGACAAATTAAATAAATACAAGCATCTGTGACAGTGCAGGTTTTGTTACAAACTTTGGAGTGTGTGATGAATGAATTTAGCAGTATTTTAAAGACATTAACCCACTACTATAACTGTAATAAGATGATATTTTTGATACTATGCAGCTAAGGTCACCAACATTTCCTTGGGTGTGAAGCTAACTGAAGGCACTGCTCTGTCTGAAGCTCAAGTTAGACTTAATCTGAGCTTTATTTTAAAACAATCTGATGAGAAAGTGCTGATTTGGTTGGGACTACAACAGGTGAGATGATTTGAGATGTTTTTCAGCTAGTCATATTTAGGAGTTTGTTGAAAATCACCTAAACGGGACCATGAACGCTTGTACCGATCACAGGGTCCTGAAAATGTGTTGTTTAAACCCATTTTGTATTTCTGACTGGCTAATGTGTCACCATGGTAACTGTTGAACAACTGCCAATAGAGATGCATGTATAACATCCCCAGTGTGATGTCACTGCAAAGTATCAATACCGAGAAAGTAAATGATAATGAAGAGTATAATTATAGTTCTAGTAAGTAGTTTGTTTTGGCTCCTCTAAGCCTCTCAAACCTATATACGGTGTATAGGCAGTAGGGCTGAGCAGATGGAAAAATATTTGATGGTCATTTCTCTGACAAGAACTGCGATTTTCAATAGAATTCAGTTTATAATAGGATTCACACAGTCCTATTATAAATAAATATCTTCTTCACAGCAGAACTGACAAAAATACTGAAATGTAAAATGACAAACTAAAGCAAGAATCACATTTCAGAACATGTTTGAACAGATCTAAACTACAGGGTTAGCTGTTTTTGTGCAGAATAACACAGGATATTTTGTTGTTTGTGGTACTTTGCCTTTTACTTCCTTTAATATTGCGATTCTGATTTGTTTGTTATTAATCTTACAGCCCTAATAGGCAGAAATAAGCAATGCAAAATAATGTAACTTATATTTACTGTACAGAAATGCAAATGTAATGTCAGCTGTGTGTTTTTAATCTGACAACCCTCATGTTGTTATCTTTTCTTCTATTTGCCAGTGTATTTGCCATTTTCTGTTCATTTTTTCCAGCCCCTTAATTTTTTGTTATAATTCCCCTCTGATTAAAACAACACAAAAGGGTGGACATTTCAGTATTTTGACACCGGGCGCCATGGCAACGGGAGACAATGAGTTACCACATATTTGCTGTATTGCACTAGTCATAGCCATTCTTCTCTAATCAATGGCTGCCTTTTTCTTTCTATTTATAGCGCTATGGTGAGGCTGCCAGCGCCCAGCCTTCAAGATGCTCACCAACTCAGACCAGTCCCTGCACGTTCCACTCGCTGCCAGTCTCCGCCCACTGCCCGGGTACAGTGAGGCTCGAGTCCAGTCCTCCCTGTCCCTCCCTGAACCAGAACCATGGCGGAGGAGCCCCACCACTGCCCGCCCCGGTCTGGCCCAAGGGAACCGCTCGTGCTCACTGCAGGTAGTAACAGTGTGTAAAATGTTGTGTTATTGTGAGGAAAAATAGGACAGATTGAGAGAAGTTCACTTTATTCACATTGGGTACTTTCACATGACCAGTAACAGTCTAATAACACAGTCGTTAGATCAGATTTTTGTTGTGTGTTTACATGCACAAAAAACAAAAAATTTGTCAATTAATCCATGGATTTTTAGAGTAACAAGAGACAAAGTACACAGCTACCATTTGTAGACCAGGCCCTGTTGTATTCTCACATATCACCACTAGATGCTGCCTATGTTACTGCTGTTTGACTGTGTGCCAGCTTTGGTCTGACAGATAAAGACCAGAGAGCACAGGTGAGTCTGAAGGCCCATTTCCCAGGTTTACATGTGCCATCTACTGTAGAAAAATTGAATAAACGTACCGATAATAGATTTAAAAGAGAATGAGCTATTTAAGGATGTTTTACAATTGAGTAGATGAATGAATGAATAATGTTATGACATAATAGGACCAAGCACATGGTTTAAATTGGTGATTTGGGTGTGTGTATTATTGCCATCACTGCTCTTTCCTTTGTTAAAATTAGTACGCTTTGCTTCTAAATGTTAGCACGATTACTATATTAACTTCTTAAAGGGCCCATATTTCGTTATTTTCCTCATCACAAATATACCTGGAGTTGTGTTTTGTTTCATTCACATGTTTAACACAAAAACCGTGCATATTTAGAGTTCTATTCTTAAACAAAAAAACACTCTTCTACCTTGTGATGTCATGTGCTAATGCCTCACTGTATTTTTAAACTCTATTCATTTTCACTAGGATTATTTGGATCATTTCAGCCCTGGAATTGCCAATCTCTACTGAACTAAAGGTTAAAGGTAGCGTGAAAACAACCACTACATGTCATCACAAGGTAGAACAGAGCATTTTGAGCTTTGGAGATATAGACAGATAATAAAAAGTTACTCAAACATGTATGAATGAACCAAAACGTAACATTGTGCATCATCATGTTAACTGTTTTCCTTATTTAATCACAGGTTCCCAACATTGGACCAGAGCACCTGAGCCTTCCCCCCCGGGCAGCCAGCTTCGACTTAGCCCCCCGGGACGACTCAGACCAGGGCTCGGGGTCCCTGAGCCCCCACAGCGGTCGCCGCAGGAGGGGGGGGCTGGTGGAGCAAAAGGATGTGATCATGGCTCACCAAGCACACAAGATCCAGAGCACGCCGCAGGCTCGCAGAAAGGAGTGGGAGTGAGTAGAAAGGAGAGAGCGCCTTTTTAAATCTATGTGTAAAGATGATAAGTCTCCACGGAACAGCATCAAATAACAGTGTAAAAAGATATGCCGCATGGTTTAAAAATACACTATGAATGTCACGTTCTGCTGAAGATTTGTTGCTGCATGTTCATAGTTAAAAGTCCTGTGTTACACAAACTGGATTCTTGTGAGCTTTAACACATGTTATAATGCTCTTAACTTCTCAAAAACATAGACAAAGTATTCTGTTTCATTCACACATGTTTGAGTAACCCTTTATTATTAGTCTGTCTACATCTATAAAGCTCTGTTCCACCTTGTGATGTCATGAAGCCGTAGTTTTCAAGTTAACAGCTCCTTTTACCTTTTGTTCAGTAGAGATTGGCAATTCCAGGACAGAAATGATCCAAATGATTCTAATGAAGGTGTATAAGGTTTAAAAACACAGTGGAGCACTTCCTATAGTACCACATGACACTACAAGGTGGAATAGAGTGTTTTCCTTTTGAGAGAAGAACACAGCCTAAATATGCAGAGTCTGTGTGTTAAACATGCCTCTTATTTTATTCTTGGTGAATCTACTACTGAACATAACTTCCTTTACCTATTGGTGTAGTGTTATATGTAATAATAGCATGAACAAAGAAAGACAATTTAAACATTTTAAATATATAACAGTATGGCAATATAACAATAACAATTTATCTAAAACAACTTAAAAGAAGCATGTCCGCTGAGATCACACTAGCGACCAATGTATTTTTTTCATTTGTACCAAAATGGCTACACGATGCTGCTGAATCCTACGCATATCACCGATTAAGAAAATGAAATTGGAAGTTGGCAATGTACCCATGGTGGTGAAAACGGGGGTAGTTGGAGCAGTGACGTCTTGAATACAGGAGAATAAAGATGACTCAAACATGCATGAATCACTCTAAATACAACTTCAAGAGGCCAAATGAAAAGGGGAAACAATTATAATACGGTTAAAAGCTCTGAAAATCCAATTTTCCCTTAGGGATGATGATTCAGGACCCCCTTGAAAAAAGCTCCTTGATTCATCTCAAAGGGCTATCCAAAAATAAATAGATTCTACATGTGTGAGCTTAGTATTTACTTAACTAAGAGGTTAGGGTATTAATTAAGTAGGGCAAATCATTTCAACTATTTGTTCATTATTAATTAATGAAATCTTTCTTCATGCTTTCTTATGGCTATTAAAGGTTTATTTTGATATTATACCAAATATTTTAACAAGCACAACTCTCATTCAGGTATTTGCAAGAAGAAAGTTTAAAAACCTGAGTGAATTTTAAATTTATTCATTTAGTTCACTGAAGATCTTACCTTTACAACTAAACTATAGATCGACATCTTTTTTTTTTTTTCATAACCTGTGACCAAAAAAGAAAAAGAACACACACAAAAAAAAAAAGCAAATTAATAATCAATGTCAAAGGGGCTAGATAAATCCAATAACTGTCAGCATGAAGTGTTCAAATAATGTTTCATGTACATTCAAAAAGTTGTTCTAAATATTGACCTGACAGATCAGCCAACTAATATATTTTTCTATCTCTAGTATAAACTATTTGCACCCTACAATTACACTTAAATTACTACTTATAAACTACTTTAATGAAAGGTTTGAGTGGCAAAATTTGTGTATTTCCATTTTTATGCTTTTTCGTATTCTACCCTGTTATTGAGTATTTGATAAAAAGGTTAGCTCTATCCAGTGACCCTGAGTGTATCTACAATAATACGCTACCATTTTCCCCTATTCGTTTGGACAAACACTGAAGCAGGCAATTGAAAACTGGCCTGTGATTGAGAGGTTCAAGTGATTGACCATTGAATGTATGGCGCTTTGTTGCTTGGATACAAAGGGATTTCGGCACATGTAACAGTCAAACATATGGCGATGAGTCATATCCATACATGGACCACAATAGCAGTTTGCATGTATTATTTTGTTTCCTGTAATCACAACTTAGTAACTTTGAACTCCTGAACTCAACATGCGCATTTCTCTGATTATCAGCCTCCCAGCTCTTGAATTTGAAGAGGTACTTTATCAACATAACCCCTGAGCCCCCAGCCTCCCCCCGCCCCTGTTGTTTTTCCCATAATCCATTGCGTTTCCTGCCTCCACCACCCACTCCATGAGCTCTCCACCTCTCCTCTCGTCCTCTTCATCACACGTGCCGCTCTTGTACATTTTCATTGCATTGCTGATTGCCGAAGTGGCCAAAATCATATAATTATTTCTTTTTCCAAAATTCTTGCGTCAAGTACCAACTCTGAAGAAACAGCAGTTAAATGTCTTATATTATGCAGAATTGACTCTTGTGACCTTTAAGAATGTTGTTACCTCATCAGAAGTGGACCCGGAGCTGTGTTTTGTTTCATTCACACATGTTTGAGTAATACTTTATTATTAGTCTGTCTACATCACCAAAGCTAGAAATGCTCTGTTCCACCATGGGATGTCATGTAGTGGTAATTTTCAAGTAAACACCTACTTTTTAATTACTTTCATAGAGATGGGAATTCCAGTCCTGAAACTATCCAAATGATTCTAGTGAAGGTGTATGGAGTTTGAAAACACAGTTGTGAATAGGCAGGGTTAGGGTTAGGGTTATATGGGCTCTTTAAGGGGATGAATTACTGGGTGGTCTCTAGGGTTGTACCAGTAACCGAAATATCATGATATATCACCAAAAATGTCACAATAATATCATGGGCCATCACAATATATCGAAATACAAGTGATAAATTTAAACATTAATTCAACGGCTATTTTCTGATATGTTATAATGTTGTTCTTATTACAGACACACCTGGACCTGAGTTTTGTTTCATTCACACACGTTTAACACACAAACCCTGCATATTAAACTCTTTTCTCAAACTGAAAACACACCACCTACTGATGTGATTTTGAGCTTTGGAGATGTGGACAGACTAATAATGAAGAGTTACTCAAACATGTGTGAATGAAACAACACATCTGCCGCTATGTTTTTGAGGTAACAATATTCTAACATGGTTTAAAGCTCACAAGAATCCATTTTGAATAATATAGGATCTTTAAAGTTTTAAGTGTTTAAAACAGAAACAGCGTCTCATTTCAGTTATAAATACACAAAGCCTTTATATGGCGTAAGGGGAAAGAATAAAGATATAAGACTGTATTGCACCATAATTTTTTAGAGTTAAAATTTCAAAAAGGAAATTTTTGCAAATATTAACCTTTTATTCGCAACATTATTATATACAGTATGACTTATTTTTTTCTGAAGGTACATTCCTGTCCACTCCCAGCTCAGAGAAGCAGACTGGAGCAATTAAGGCGTTATTAGCCCTAATGGAGCCAGTGAAATGACACTAAATGACTAAGTGAGCTTCTAACTGGGCTTCTAAAAATACTACAAGTGGGAGTTACTGTTAGATACTGTACAAGGTATCACCAGCACTTTTATTCTTCATATTTTTAATTTTTTTTTCCGTATTTATCCAACCCACAAGTGTAGCACTCCCCAGGACAGGCTCTTGTTACCGTCTGGACTAAAATATGGACTATCTATCAGTCCTATTATTATTATTAAAAGGCTGTTAAAGTCTATTATATGAACCATCTGCACAACTGAAGTTTTCGCTGACCTCTCTCACAGCAGTGGAGCCTCTGTGACACTGGCATGGCTCTACAAGCAGCTAATGTTTTTAGAAACACCCAAACAAAAGCAATAGAGAGAAATAGGAATAGGGATTGAATTACTTTGGCTTGTTTTTTGAATTATATACATTATATTAAAAGTGAAATGATAAAATGACAGTACTAAAGTGTGCAATAGTAGTTCAGAACAGCAGAGACTAGCAACTAACATTTGTATAATGTCAAATAGAGAGCCTTCTATGAGCAATGGATCACAATAGATTTTATTTTAAACAAAACACAGCTAAAGTCAAAAGTTTGGACACACCCTCTCATTTGATGTTTTCTAATTTCTGCATTTTAGATAAGACATCAAATATGTGGTGTAAGATATATAGAATTATGCAAAGTAAAAAAGCAAAATAACGCAAGTGAATGTTTTATATTTTATATTTAAATTCCTCACAGTAGCCATCCTTTGCTTTGTTGACAGTGTTGCAAAACCCTGGACTCTCAATGAGTTTCACGATGAAGTCTCCTGAAATGGTTTACACTTCACAGAGGCACCTTGTCAGGGTCAAGAAATGTCAAAGGTGCAAAGCAGTGATCAAAATAAAGGGTGGCTATTTAATATTTTTGTTTATCTAATAAGTTTTGAGTTGATTTGATGCCATTGGTCTGCAATTTAAGTAATCATGGACTTTTGACTGGTAGTGTATATCAAGAAAGTTACATTAAATACATACATTGAGAAATTATTAAAGTAGAATGGTGCCCCCCAAAATGATCATTATGACCCTGTAGCTGATTGCATAAAGCTGAATAAAATGTATAATGCATTATATTTGCTTTCACTTGCAAAATTGGCACATTGTGTAACTTTCCTGATAACGTTTCATTGTGTAACTTTTCTGTTAGAGCATCTGCCGTCTGTTTGTCTCCATGGCGATGCTTTGCCTGGAATGTTCCACAGTGTCACATTATACTTATCTAACACCAGGGAGACAGACAGGTGGCATGATCAAGCAAGTTACAGGTCAGATCTCTGGAGAGGTAGGCCCGCTCACAACATGTTTTTCAGGGTCTTTTTCAGCAATAAAAACACTTGCAATTAAACAAAACAAACAAATGCTGGTTAAATGTTTAATGCCATACTGTGGAACATTCAAGGCAGAACTGTAATTTCTATGAAGAAAAGCAGCTGCCAGACCCTGCATCAGAAAATTTACAGTGCACCTTTAAGTAAGCAAAGAGATATGTTAAAAAAAAAAGTTGATTACCCTTTTCATAATTAATCAGATAAAGAAACATGTAAATATGTTCCTGTGAATTT